CCTTTTGGTTTATTGAATTGTTTTCATAAATATTGATAACAGCTTTGATTATCCATCACTGATCATATTTTTTCTGTTTCCAGGGTGCAGCAGTGGGCTGTTTCTTTTGGCAAAGACATAGCTGCTCTGTCTGGTAGATACTCTGGAGCTAAACTGCTACAGAAGGTAGGAGATCACACACAAATTCATATGCACACATTAAAATATACAGACGCACACAAATAAACACACATGCTGTTAGACAGACATGAATACACATATGCACAAGCCAAAAACAGCTGCCAACACATACATATATGTACAAAATTTAAATGTTGTCTAAGGCATTTAAAGTTACAGAATACAGTTGGCTGCCGGCAAAAGACAAAGGAGTGAAATCTAAGACAACTTAAATGCCGAGACATTAGTGTACTTTACAGTAATAGAGACAGTCAGATATAGAGCACATGACATCATTACATCAGACTGAGATGGGCAGGGTCCGTATATCCTCCCCCTCCCTCTTTTCCATCAGCCAATAGGAACACAACTGACTGGCATACAGTTGCTGTACAACATCTGCACATGGCCCAGAGACCAATGTGTTGACACACTTAATTCAAACACACATCATGCACAGGCACACACACACACACACACACACACACAGAATTTTTTCCTGGAAAAAATACACAGAAATCACATTACTATTATTATTATTATTTTCTTTTTTAATTCTACAGCATGACTTTTAAAGCTGTTGTAGTGTTTTACCAACAGATATAGTAAATATCATGCTGATACATTATAGCCCATTGAAATGAGTTGAATTTGTCTGAATTCTGTTCATTTCTGTGTGGCTTACATTGGAAGTTATATTTTTGTCTGTGTGTGTGTGTGTGTGTGGGTCTCTGTGTGTGTTTGTGTGTGTGTTTTAGTAATTAGGATGTGCGGTCTTCCTCTGCATGCCACCCTGTAAAATCCCTAGCAGGCCCATTCACCATCTGCCACACACACATAAAACACACACACAAACACATACTGTGTGTTCACAGAGACATGCACCTACTGACTATCTCCCTCCATAGCCTATATGTATGTTTATTTTTGTTTTACCATGCAATTTCCTGTTGTGCGGTACAAAATATCCACCAATCTAGCTGCACTTCCACAGATTTCTTCCAAAACAAACTAAATACAGTGTGTAGCTTGTTGTTTGTGCCTGCATTTCAGACTGAATTAACTTCAGATAACCTCAATGTTGAGTTGGTAGAACCAATTTTCCAGAGTGAGCTCTTCACAAGTAAAAATAATGACTAACTTGATCAAGAAGCCCCAGAAACAGTAGCGCAAGTAAGTGATGGTATTGTAGTAGTAGTTGCAATTGTCATAGTAGTAGCAGTAGTACCAGTTGCCTTATTTAGAGTCAGTAATAGCAATATTTATACATAATGTAGGTATATTTGTCCTAGTTGCACACTTTATTTTCATTTAGTCAGTGATGTGTGAAAAGCACCCAGTGCAGTAGTTTAATCTCAGCAACAAGAAGCCATTAATCACCAACTTCTGTCTAATCGATGGCTTTCTCGTTATCTGTGGAACATTTAGTGACTCTGTCTTCTTGCCTGAGTAAACTGAATAGGATATTGAGTGTTTGAAGATAATAAAAAATGTTGGAGCTTTGCTTTTGTTGGAAAGGATTTTTTATGGTTATTTGTAGTGTGGCTGTGAGAGCTCTTTATCATCCTTTTTTTCTGTAAATCTATTTGTCTCTCTTATCTCTCTAATTCAGACTCCCCTGTAAAGGAAATTAAAAGCATTATCTGTGAAAGTGAAAATAGAACGTATTTTACTTTGAATGACAAATTGGGCATTTAGTTCTTTTTTTCCACAGTTTTTAGAATTTATGTTTAGGTCAACAGGCTACAAAACTGAAACTGAAAGGGCCTTTCCCAACCAGTATGGGACTCTGGGAACTGGGGATTTTCCATTAACAAGCCTTTTCTTTCCTCTCCTCAACATATTTTACTAACCTATCACAGTGTTAAGGGAAGGTAATTATCTTACTGAAGGTAATAGAAAATGAGTCCCTCACCAAACAAACATTTAATCGAAATCTATCATCTGTCGTCACAACAAATGGCATTATCAGCAGTGCAGGAAATGAACCTTTAAGTAAACAGGCAACAACCGTTTTAATTAGTGTAGTGAACAAACACACCAGAGAGCTGCCAGAAAAATACATTTAGTTCAATCACAGACTCTTACAGAAGATTGATGAAATAATCTCTACATATAAACACCTAATTTAAATGGTTTTCCATTTATTTGAGACTTGATCCGTTCAGTTTGAATTAAAAACAAATATTAAATGTTTATTTTCACAAACGGATTTTACTGAAAGTAATCATACACTAGAATAATATGTAGGAATGTATTGAACCTTTGGTTATTTGACTTGATCTTATAAAGCTCATGAAAATACTTATTGGGTCATTATTAATATGCACTATTTTTGTGGTATAGTTTTTACATCAATGTGAAAATAAGACCTTTTATTCAGTTTTGTTTGTTTATTTAATTGATGATTCATCATTTTGACGCAGCCATTTTAACAAATAATATGTGAGGACTCTTTTTGATGCCTTCAATGGCAACTTTAATGAAGTGAATTATAAATATGTTTGATAAAACCATTTCAAAACACAATGCAATCATTAAAACATGCACAGATGTCAGTCAGGAGGCGCAGCGTGCACTAGATGGTGTTCTTGTGGCATCACTCTGTCATATTGCAGATTAGAGAGGGGGTCTGGGGAGGGGATGAAGTCAGGGCTTGACCTGCATCTGTACGGCGAACTGTAAATGTGGTGTGTGTGTGTGTGTAATTGTGTAATACCAGGATCTCTATCCCTTGGTTATGTGTGTCTCTGTGTTTGTTCTTTTCCATTGTGTGTTTGATATTGCATGCAAATTAACATTAAAATGAAGTGGCAGTAAAAAGTGGGACAATATATTATAATCCTTACACACTTTTAAAAAAAAATACGCTTTTTACTGATGTGCTAACTGTGTTTGTTTCAAAGAAATACAAGGATATCGAGGGTGTGGTGAAGATAGAGGAGGTGGACGGAGAGGAGCTTGTAAAAAAGTTTGCTGAGGAGATGGAGGAGATGCTTGGGAGGAAGATGAAATCGGTGAAGGTAATAATGACACGTTCTATAAAAGTGAATGCACATTTAATGGTAACCAAGTTGACATGAGCTCTTCTGCAGATGTGACCTTGGTTAAACAGATTTAATCTCAGCATTAGGGTTAGTCTGTGTAAGCTTGGACTTGATAATATTTGCTACATGGGCAATTCTATGGGCTGTGTATCCCTAACCTGCTGTGTTTTATCACAGAGGTTGGCAGAAGCGGCAGAGGATGCTGACCTTTACCATGAATACAATGAAACAATGGAGGTATGTGACAATATTCTTCAATATATGCACTTTAATCACTGTGACTTGTGAGTTTATGCCTTGTCTAACTAGACGTAAACTTCACAGACAGTTAAGAGTATGTAACCACTGATTTATGCCAAAAATATTAAATTCATTATTGGTATTTGGTGGTGTCTACTACCTGCGGAACAAGTCACATAACCATCATAACTCTAACTATATTAAGGATGATATGCTTTAGTCTTCTTTCACCTCATTCGTGTAAGCATACTTTAATTGATAGCAAATATGCAAAGGATTTAGCAAATCTACCACACAGGAAAGCATAAAAATATAGCTGTATGCTGCGGAATCCCACAATGTTTCATCATCAAATAAGCCCCTCGTCTTTTACTGTTCTGTCTAGTTTGACTACTATAACTCCTTGCTGATCAACACGTTGGATGAGGACGGGAATCCAGTGCCGCTGGGAGGAGAATTTGCTCTGGAAGAAAATGAACACTTTAATAAAATGCCAGTCAACACACAACAGAGTAACATACAAGTCCCAACTAATGTGTACAACAGAGGTACAGAAGCATGCACACACACATACGGCCTGCATTTCCACATACTGTATAATACATCTAATTTTATTATTTCTCTCTCTTTCTGTAGACCCAGATATTCTTAATGGAGCCTACATGTCTGAGGCTCTGAATGAAGTGTTCATTGATAACTTCCAGAAAGATCCAACTCTCACCTGGCAGTACTTTGGCAGCTCTACTGGCTTCTTCAGGCTGTACCCAGGTGCATACATATGAGACATCACGCGTGCTCGTATCCTAAAATCTCAGCCTCTTCAGTTAAATATTTCTCCTGCGTCTGCATCGTGTCAAGACAACATGAACAGAGCTGTAGATACGCATACTTCAGCTACGCAAGCCAAGTGGTATACTTACACAGCAACTGACGATGCAGAAAAATGTCTGTCAAATGTGATGACTCAGTCTCAGCTACAGTGTGGCTACTGGGGAATTCTCTCCTGTGTGGGTGTGTGTGAGGAGTAATTAGTGGAGGATTTGTGACACAGCTTGTTTTACTCATCTGCTACCTCATCCATCTCTCCCTCATTCAATAAATCTGTCACTGTCAATCCATACATCCATTTGTTCATCCGTCCTTCCAACCAGTCAACCAAGCACCGTCTGAGCACCAACTTTTGCTGAATCTCTCTCGGTTCTCTCTGTCTCTCTGTCTCTCGCTCTCTTTCTTTCTCTCTCTCTCCAGGGATCCAGTGGATTCCAGATGAAAATGGTGTGGTCACCTTTGACTGCAGAAACAGAAACTGGTATGGATATGTTCCTGTCAACATCCGTTCTGCTTCCTTATTGATGCCTTTTTGAACGGTTGTAGCTCTCTGTATAGTTTGTAAGTTCAACATAGTGCCTCTCAGGATGCCATCCTTATGAATGTTCTGCACTGATAGGTGGCAGAGAAACAACTCAGCTCAAACTGAAGCCTCAAACCCATGTTATGGGCCCTAACACTCGAAGCAAGCAGTAATTGGGCACCATTAGGCAATCACAGAGTGTCTATGGCTGTAGTGTGTTCGGCAAGTCGGTGCCCGTCTGCCCATATCAGCGACTATATATGGCCAATTGAACATGTTTAATCAGTAGTGAGTGAAGTCTTTCTGACTAGCTGTGCAGCCTCAGTGACTTTACCTATTTAGTGTCTCTCCTTGTTTGTATTTGTTAAAAGTGCAACTTTTAACAGAAGTTGTGAGGTGATGTGGTGCGACGCAGAGCCAACCCATGTCAGTGTCAGTTCACCTTGGTTTAACAGCATCCTTACCCTTAATCAGTAGATTAAACATACTGTATTTCAGTTCATGTTCCATTAAACCATTTAAACCAAAAAGGTAAATAGTTAATGGAGAGACAGAACCTAGGTTTGACAGAGGCACACAGTATTTGGCCAGTGGCAATTGTGGCCAAACAATCTTTGCTCTAATCAACATGGAGAAGAGCTGTGGGTGCAGATTGTGTCAAAGACAACCATATATACAGTGATGGCACAATACTTGTTCAAGGCTTATACTGCAGCAGCCATACGGCCTATTACAAGTAATGCTGCAACTGAATGATCTGGACAGGCCTTTTTCACAGGAAACATTTTGACTTGTCACAGTTGGAAAAGTACAGGTTTTACTAATAATATTAGTAGTTTGATTCAAGTATCCCAGTATACAGTGACAGTGTAATGGAAGCAGCTAAATGGAATTCAGCCATAATTCATTCTATGATTTACACTAGTGCTTTTTCCTACTGTGACATGTCAAAATGTCTTCCATGTCAAGTTGAATAAGAGCTGGATTACTGTTTTCGGTAACAGTAAGTCCAGCTCCGGGAACTCTGTCTGGTCCTTAGTAAGGACATACTGTAAGGCGGAAATGACAGAGCAAGTCAGCGCCGCTCTGGATAGTTGCAGATCAGAGTTGCTGTAGTGGAAATCTCATAGATGCTAATGAGCTTAGAAAGTCAGAGGATGATAATAAGGAGATGAAGAGAAGCATTGACGGAAGAACTGAGGAACAAATAAAAGGATAAGGCTTGAATTCTGCCCACTCTGTCTGTCTGCTAGACTACTAATAAATACCTTCTAGTCTGTTAATGCTTAGTGTTATTTAGTTGACATTGTAATAAAAATAAAGACTTTACTGCTTCCTATCTCAACTCTCTGTCTCTTTCTAGGTACATACAGGCAGCCACTTCTCCTAAAGATGTGGTGATCGTGGTGGATGTCAGTGGCAGTATGAAGGGACTCAGACTGACCATAGCCAAACACACAATAAATACAATCCTGGACACACTGGGAGAAAATGATTTTGTAAACATCATAGCTGTAAGTACACACACATACACACTCATACAATTACACAAACCACAGACAACATGTGCACAGTCTGAGACTCACCAAAAGGCAGATAGTGTCTATATCCTGATTAGCGTGAATTTGAGATTAACACAGATAAGCTAATACGCAGGTACAGAATGGAGATCGGGGGTACATGGAAATGGAGACACACACGCAAACAGGCACAGATACACACATCAAACATTCAGTTCACACCAGGCATTTATTTTCAGTAACATCTAAGCTCCAAAATTCATTTTGCTTCTACGTTTTTCAGGATTTTGGCTGTGTGTAGTCCTATGACTACAAATCGGTGTAATAAGCATGGTTTATCCGGGTATTACTATGTGTGTAATCACACGCCTGCTGCAAATCCGCTGCCCTTAAGCTGTTTTTACACAAAATTTAAAGCTACACTCTTTTCAATGGAGTGGCCATGCAGCAAAATGAAAACCAGACTCTTCTTTTAAAATGAGATATCCTTAGTCAGAAAATGTTTTTAAATCCCATTTTGATTCCTCTTGAACTTAAACATATATATATATATATATATATATATGGTATAAACATAATAATACAGCATTCAGATATTTAAACTTTCATATATTCACATTATTAACTCTTTCTGTGTTACAGAATCTGAGTAAATAAGTGGGTTATGATATGATTTAAGGGTGGTAAAACAACAACTCTTACTCATCACCTGTTATATCAAGGTCATGTTGAGAGTTAATCATGCGTATCATTGATTATGGGTTTTGTATTGTGTGTTTCTCTCTCCAGTACAGTGACTATGTTCGTTACGTAGAGCCCTGCTTCAAGGGCATGCTGGTTCAAGCTGATCTGGATAACAGAGAGGTAACACACACACACACAGAAGACACACGTACATCCGCTAATTAATTCACCCAACCTCTGCTAACCTATTAAACTGTTATCTCACTAATCCTCTAAAGACAAAGATTATGCTCTCATCACATCACAGGGAATGTGTGCTATCAGGGTTTCAACCTGTTCGTTGGTGGATTTAGTAATGAAACCATAACCAGTTTATGCTCAAGTGGGGTAACAGTTTCTGTTTTAAGAATACAGATATTCTTTGTTTCCCTGCTCTCCTCCTCCTTTGTCATCATTCTCTAGCTCCTCTTTTCATCTCCTCCACCAAGCCATGACACTTTTCCTCTATTTTCTCTCTTTTCTCTCTTCCATTGCACTTTCTATCTCTCAACATCTCACTCTTTTTTTTGAATTTCCACGTACAAGTGTGTTTCACTGCTGCTTTTCTTTTCATTTTTTTCCTCCTCATCTGTTCTCCTGTTTTTCACATACCAACACCTGCTCAGTCGGCTCAGTCTTTGTGTGTGTGCGTGTGTGCGTTATGTGTTGGATGTATGCCCTACTTTCACTCCCCTTCACATCCATGCAGATCAGGTGAGGTCGCTGGCCGCTGACAATTTTTAAGTAGGTCACATGACCTGTCAGCAAGGGAGTTGATTGGTTGGATGCCTAGAGAGGCAGGCTGTAACAGAATGGGCTTACAGATGTTGGCTGACACACTTATAAACTCATGTTGGAACACACACACACACATTTACTGGAAGACAATCTTCAGTTTTGTGGCTGTTATATAAGAGTTCCTACATTCCCAAACAACTATTTATCTTATTTACTCCCAGTGTAAGTCAGACTGAGTTAGCCCACAATAAAGACCAATGTATTTAAAAAGAAAAGGGACACCATGGGCCCAAAAGAGCCCAAAATTAGTCCTGAAATTAAAGAAAATGCTGTCTAGTTGTCTATGTTTACTTATCTTGTATTTTAATTGTAGCTGGTTGCTGCACATTGTAAAGTTAAGCATTTTGAATTAATTTACAGCAACAATCACAGCAATAATTTAGCTTGTATTTGTAAGGGGATATAAAAGTCTGTCGAGAGCTCCATGGAGGCTAGGCGTATTGCTGGTCCACAGAGTGGTGGAACCCACAACAATCTGGCCATTTGTCATAGTGTGTGCGGATGTCTGTGTGTGCATGTTGACTAATCCTGATTACCTCCTGGTGTTGTAGTGACTTTGCTGTAATTGGTCAGTGTGCCAGGGAGCCAGGGATAATCCCTCCTTTACACTCTTTTTTTTCACTCCCTCATGATCTCTCCCTCTTTTTTTGATGGTGACCTGCATTCACCTACATTTACCAAAAGGGTAAGATCCATGGCTTAGTAACAGGCGTCTATTTCTTTATTTGTTGTGTGTGTCTCTCTGCAGCATTTCAAGATTTTGGTTGAAGAGCTTCATGTCAAAGGAGAGGGCAAAGTGAAAAATGCAATGAAGGAGTCTTTCAAGATTCTCAACGAGGTTTGTTCCTTTTTGCAACAACCACAGCAACTGCTGGTCTCAACAATATACAGCATTGCTCATAATGAAAGAACATTGCGTGTGTGTGAATGTGCGTGTGTGTTTAGGCTGCAGCACTGGGCCAGGGCAGCCTGTGTAACCAGGCCATCATGCTGATAACAGACGGGGCCATGGAAGACTTCCAGGATGTTTTTGAAGAGTTCAACTGGCCAGAACGACGGGTATGACAGACACACGCACACAAGCATTAAAAACCACAAGCAAGCAGTGAAATCTACTCTAAGCACACAGACACATATTATTGACACTGTTTATATGAAGCTCTTTGAAGTAACACATGAGTGGGGTTTATCACATCTCCCTATATACTTTATTGTCTCTCCAGGTTCGTGTGTTCACCTATCTGATTGGACGAGAGATGACATTTGCGGAAAATGTTAAATGGATTGCCTGCAACAACAAGGGTAAAAAACAAATGGGGAGTCTGGTTTGTGACATAAAAGTCGCTAGTCTGAAATCCCTGCCTCCTCCATAACATTTGGGATAGGATTTTGGGGTAATTTCCGCAACAAGGACTAGAGTAATAGATGTGAAAACTACTACAATCACTTGCAAAGTCTTAAATAAAACAAGAGCAAGAAAGGAGGTATGTTTCCCCTCTGTGGTGTTCCCAGTTGGAGCTGGATGGGACTGGGTATCAGGTGCTGCCCTCTTGTGAATTACATGGGGTCATGCAGCAGCTCAAACCTGGAAATAATCGCTTTATATGCTTTGAGCACATCAAAAACCCCAGACTAAATACCTGATTATCAGAACAGATACACTGTAAACACATCCCTGGCCAAAAAAATATCTTATCTGCGTCTGTGTGTGTGTGTAATGGGTAACAGGTGCACTCCCTTCTGTTGCGTACACTGGCAGTTGCTTCTGCCAACAACAAAATACGTATCTGTCATAAACAGACAAATATGCTTATTGTTACACTCCTGCAAAAAACTTCTATAAACAGTTTCAGTTTTAGTTGAGTAAGCAGGTCTGCTTAATAATATTCAGAGCAGCACTCTTAGGGAGACGTTCCAAAGGGGAAAAAGGTTGTACACGTTCATATATTCATACCTGGCAGTGCTTCAGTAGCCTGTTGTCACTGAGCAGCTTCACGGCAGGTATCCTGTTGACGTCATTGTCTCCCACTTGCAGAAATGCCATAAACCTTAGACTAAGCCAAGCTTTAAAGAACGTCAAAAGCACATTTGCACTGATGGGAGATTCAAGCTGTTTTCATTAAAAACAGCTTAGGGTTTTTTGGAAATACCAGGTTTTCTGAAGTCAGATAAATGAGTTTGCTGCTCTAAATGTAATTCCCAAAGGCCAGAAGCAGGAAGATAAAAATAATATGGTGAACATTTTCTTTGCTAAAATGTAGGGTTCCTAGTTTTTCCATGTGAGTACAGTAATTTGTGATATATGTGTACATGTTTTTGTGTGCTGCAGGGTACTACACACACGTCTCCACACTGGCTGATGTCCAGGAAAACGTTATGGAGTACCTCCATGTTCTCAGCCGGCCAATGGTGATCAATCACGATCATGACATCATCTGGACTGAGGCCTATATGGACAGTGTGGTCAGTCTGCTTCTCCCATTATTGCTGGGCAACACACACTGTTATCTTGCATCAGCATCATCAGGCATACATAATCAAAATGTCAGATTCATTAAGGACGCCTGTCCTATTACTAGTGATCCATTATGTAGTTTTGTCTGGAGGGAAACATTCAACCGCAGTCTTCCTTTCTGAAACCATTTAAAGCCAGTTTATTCCCCTCTGTGCCTCTCTCCATGGTGCTGAAACATTCAAAAACCTTCCATCTAGTTCATCCTGGACACCAATAAAATCTCTCAGCAACATCCTAGCAACCACAGAGAACACCATAGCAACCATGTAGCCATCACTAAGTACTGCACTGGCAATTTCCATGAAAATACCTTAGTAACCAAGCACCACTAACATCCTCCTCCATCCAACCAGCAATGGACCAACAACTATTTAGCCACACCCCAGCAAAACTTCAGCCAGTTTTACATTTTCTAAATAATTCTAATCATTTCTTTTCTAAGTTACTGCACCTGTTGCTAGTTGCTACTCCACCTCTACCTGCTTACTTCTGTTTGTTTCCTCATTTATTTCAGTATCCCTTTTTATCTGCACCATATGTGTGACACAACTTTTCACTGCCATTTCATGCTTGTTGTTGCCTTTCCTCCCCTCCATCTCCACCTTCAGCTCCCAAGTACACAAGAGGTAAAAATACTAAAAATGGCAGCCGTATAAAATACAGTGTATATAGTATCTGTAATGTCTTAAACAGTTTATAGTGGTCTCAAGTAGTTTCCTGTTAAGCTATAGCTAACTTTCCGCCATTGCTTTAAGTGCTAAAGTTAGCTTAGCTCATCCTTTTGTTAGCTAAGTTAGTTTAGTCCGTTTTTCACCTAGAACCACTACTTAGTTAGCTTTCAGTTTTAGTTTGTAGTTTTAGAACTTGTTCTTCACTGTTTTACTCCTTCCTTCAGTCATTTCACAAGAGCTTATTTTTCAAACTTATTTGAGTGAGCATTTCTTTTTGTGTCTTAGGTTTCCCTTAGTAAGACGTTATCTTGGTTAAAGTTTTTTGGTTCAGACAGATTTACCTACATTAAATTCCTTACTATTTGTCTCCATTTCACTTCATTTTCCACCTTTGTTCAACAGAATTTAACTCCTCCAATTTAGTTGTTTGCTCATAATTAACATGGTATTTTTGTGTATATGTGTACCACAGCTGTTCAACACTCAGGCCCAAAGCCTGCTCCTGATGACCTCGGTAGCAATGCCTGTGTTCAGCAAGAAGGAAGAGACCGTAAGTATTCATTTCAATCACCATTAACACCATTATTCTCTACAGAAATTGCTTGAAATTGTGTATTCATGAATGTATGTGTTTCCTGTAGTTGTCTCATGGGATTCTGCTGGGAGTGGTGGGAACTGATGTGGCCTTGAGAGAACTGATGAGATTAGCTCCAAGATACAAGGTAAACCATCCCAAATATATATATGTATATATAAAATACTGTATACTGTGCTATTCTGTATTGATTATTCTCTGCCAGCAACATTGTATTTGTAATTTCATGTTAAGTATCCACATGTTAATGATCAATGTTGTTGCCCTAGTGTAGGTGTTGTGTCCTTATCACTTTCTGTCTCTTCAGCTGGGTATCCATGGTTACGCCTACCTCATCACCAACAACGGCTACATCCTGTCTCACCCTGACCTACGACCTCTGGTACAGACAAAGATTGTATTGTAGTTGATTATTGCAACTGAGAAATTTATAATTCTGCTTGACAGATTTATTGCAGTTACCCAAACACAATAAAATGGAATAGGCTGCTAAGACTTGTTTTTGATGTTTGTGTTATTTGTGTGTGTGACAGTATAAGGAGGGGAAAAAGCTGAAGCCAAAACCCAACTATAACAGTGTTGATCTGTCAGAGGTGGAGTGGGAAGACACTGAGGAGAAAGTCAGTAACATACACTCACATACACATATTTTGTTCCTTTCTCTTTTCTGTATGTCACTGTGAGTTGGGTTGTTCAGGATCTATAGCATGGTATTTGTGATGTCAATGTTTCAGCTGAGGACAGCCATGGTTAAAGGAGAAACTGGAACTTTGTCTTTAGACGTGAGAACTTCCGTGGATAAAGGAGTGAGTACTTTTGTTTTTGTGAGTGTCTGAAATATTAGGTCAGATTAGATTTTCCTCTCTTTCTGCTTGTGGGGTTTTGTTGTCTTATATGATCCAAGTTTTGTTTCCTCATTTAGTTTTAGCCGTCCATTTATATTTTGTGTCTTGTTTTGTAAGTACAAGCTGTCATTTTTCTCTGTGCATTATTTCTGTCTCTCCCAGAGGAGAGTGATGTTCCTGAAGAATGATTACTTCTACACCATCATCAATGAGACACCATTCAGGTTTGTTCATAGTAACAACAAGTGCTTATTGTTGGAAATAACCATTATTACGAGCATGATTCATTCTGCCTTTGACATATTAAGTAGGTAGTAAAATAACATTCTCATCTGTGTGTTTGACAGTCTGGGTATAGTGTTGACTAGAGGATATGGACAATATATTTTCATCGGAAACGTCTCCGTTGAGGAGGGTAAGTCTTTGCTTTCTGTCTTAGTTTTTCTCTGCATTTGTGTTTGCCCTCCTCACTCTCTGTCTCATGTCTTTTTTTCTTTTTTGCTTCAGGTCTCCATGACCTATTGGCTCCAGACTTGACCATAGCTAACGAATGGTGGGTACTGTATAAATAGCAGAACATAGACATTATGGGATTCCCAGCAGTCTTGTCAGTTTGTAGCTCTTTGTGTAAATATTGTGATAGAAAAACTTTGAAGAAGATGAACCACTTGTACTCAAAGAAGATTTCAGGTGACCTTGATGAGTTACCCAACAGAATTTATTGAGGTTCAACCAAGTAGAATAAAAGCAGCAATACATGTGTAACACAGTGCAGTGCCAACTCAGGATGGGGGATATTTAACATAGACCCACACCCTCTGCGACAACACGTGTCCCAACCTACACTGGCGACTACATGCATAAATCTAATTGGAGAATGTAACACAACAAGTTCTCTGGTTACCAAGCTTTCCCTCCTGAACCTTGCACTGTTTCTATGGGGAGAGACAGCCAGTCTGACCCTGGGTGAGGCAATATGTGGTCCAGCTTGACCCTTATGACTGCAGCTGTTGTGGAGTCAGCACACATGAGGACACATAACACTCAGTGGCTCTAGACACTACTAAAACTGAACCCTTCTGCTGCAACCTTTGACCTTTCAGGCCATAGACCATTTACATACAGTGGATAATGCTGTCATCTAACTACACCTGGGGCCATCCATCTTAAAGGACACCTAGAAGACAAAAATTCCTTCACAAATATGACTACCGTACATTTTTGTCTACAAAAACGCATGTGTGTGCTTGTAGGACCTACTGCGAGACAGACATTGACCCTGCCCATCGTAAGCTGACCCAGCTGCAGGCTGTGGTGCTATACCTCACTGGAAAAGAACCACATCTGGAGTGTAAGTACACACTTCAATTTCAGGTCATAAAGTTTACATTACAAAATAAAACACACTTAACCCTGAAACTCTGCAATTTATGAGCACATACACACCTGAAATCAGAGGAGAAAATAACACTCAAACAGCATGCAGTATCCATAAACACACCACTGCATGTGTCAACTTTGCTTATAATCTTTTGAGAGATTAGCTTAACTCTGCCAAAATATTAACCAAATCATTTCTAAACTGTACCTTTAAAAGTTCTCTTTGAAAATAACACCTTTAAAGGTAAAAATTAGGTTGTCTCAACATAAACTGCAGATTTAGGTACAAACATAGTCAGGACACACTGATACATTCTTGGGATCTTTTATACTGTTGGCATTAATCAATGTTTAATATTTGTTTTCCTTTGGTTTCTCTCTACAGGTGATGGGCTTTTATTGCAACAAACTCTGTTTGATGCTGTGGTCACGGCTCCTATGGAAGCCTACTGGACCGCCCTCATGCTCAACACATCTGGGTGAATATTAACACACATGCACAGCCACGTAAATGTTCCTTTAATTAAGACATGGACTTTTTGCATTAATAATCTTTTTAATTTTTTTATTTGCTTTGTCTCTCTATCTGCTCCACCTCGCTCTTTAAATCTCAAATTTTCTTTCTTTCTTTCTTTCTTTCTTTCTTTCTTTCTTTCTTTCATTCTCTCTCTTTCAGTATGGACGAGGGGGTAGAAACAGCGTTCTTGGGGACCCGTTCAGGCCTGACGAGATTCCAGAGATACACTGGTATTGAGAAAAGAACTGCCAAGTGAGTAAAACTGAGTCATTTTGTATATTAAATATCATCACATTCTAACAGTCATACCATTATGTCCACGACCAGAAGGCTCAAATCTGGGGTTAAATAAAGTGTTAAATGTGTTTATGTGAGAGTGATAGAAATTTAAGATTGGAATTGAAGCTGAAAATACAGTAAGGTGAGAGTCTGCCCTCTGGTGGTCAGTAAAGGGAATAGTTTTCTGTAAAGAATCAGTCTTATTGCTCCAGACATGCAAGTCAATAAAACTATTACATGCAAAAACAGTTAATGTCGCTTAGACAAACATACATCCTGTTGTTGAGGTATAACACCTGTAAACATTAACAACACTTTATCCATTTTAGTAGAATTTGTACACATACATTTCATGTAGGATGACATAATATAAATAAACTTTAATAAACAAAACTGTACTCTCTTTTAGTAAATCATTTTATTTTAGCTACTCTAGGTTTTTAA